AAAAGAATATGATACATTCGATAGTCATTTCCTTATATTCATCATTCCAATTCAGAGTCAATTGTTTCTACATTGACCTGAGTAAGTCATCTTTAAAATCTATTATTCCTTATTACAGTATTTGACGAATTTTAATAAATCAATTGTTTATAGGCTCAAAAATAGATGGCAATCCATTCGATTTGGATTAAAATACGTTTCACCTAAAAACGCATCACATCCGACATATGCGACATATTTTCAACAAGAAAGTTTAATTATAACGGATAGTGGTCTTAGTTTGGATATTTATGCAGTTGGAAATATCACCGACGATATATATTTAGACGCAATTCATAGTAGGCTGAAGATTTCTTTTTAGTTTGCTTTAAAGTTAATAATGCTAAATTTTTAATTTTAATTATATGTTTATTATTACTTTTATATGCAGGCGGAAATTATGAAATAGTATCGGATAGAGATTTTCAAAGTAAATTATATGAAAATTTTTATTATGAAAATTTTTACACTCTTTCACCGAACAAGGTAATTGAGAATTTCCTATTTTTCTCTTGGCGCATAATATTTTAATACATTTCACATTTTCTGTAGAGTAATCTGGTACTTTTTGATAGCGTTCGTTATGAAAACACATGAATATTCGCTTTGGACATTTCCGCTGATTTGGAGCAACTTCAAAACAGGAACCGATTACTATGATCTTTTATCCAGACTTGGTAAATAGTCACTAAATCTATTTTCTAGAAAAAAAAACATTGATTCGTATTTACCTTCTGGATACAACAGGGATACAAATTTTTCTGGGTCAAAAAAGCTCTTCTTCATTCTATTGCAACTTACAAGTATTTGCTCAGTCAGGTTTAGAAATTGTTCGAGCGAGTGAATCGTAAGTTATTAATGTTATTCATGTCATAAATATGGAATTAATGTTCTTATTCATGTCATATATATGGAATTATCCTCGATTAATTTTATTCGATAAATAGGGATGAAGACATCCTATCTACATTTAGTACTATCAGTGGTATATGGACTTTCTTCATGACAATTTATGTCTTTTTATTTAGCATTAATTCAAAATTTTCGCTGGGTGTTCCACATGCAATGTGGAATTCATTTTTTGGTAAAAAAAAGAAGTTGAGTTGGAAGTTGAGAAGATGAAACTTCTGTTAACAGATTATTTGATAGATATCGATGGGGTTAACTTCCCCCCTCACAGTAATACTTCAGGATAATATATAGATCTACACAAATGTAGATTTCAATTTCTTAAATTTCTTTTAAATAACTTTATTCATAGTTTATATGAACATTTTTTGCCTAAGGATAATTTAGTTTAATTGTAGAATTAGGCCTAACATATGTAAAACGTTATCAGTCATTACTTAATTAAAAAATTTCTTTTACATATTCGTTCTTCAAAGAAATATTTATTTCCTTTGCATATATTTATTTACACTAAAGTGCAGTGATCTATCCCGAGTTTACTTCTCCCACTATGCTTTCTTGCACGAACGCGCAATGTTGACTAGTATTAGAAGCAATGCAATAAGTATGACTAAAAATACAATAAAAATAATGTACGAAAACTATAGCTGTTATACTCACGTGTACAGTATATTGCATATCGACTACGTACTATATCAAACTTATAACCTAATCCTGTGCTGAATTTTGTGTTAAAGACTACTTTAAATGTGATGAGGTTTAATTTATTTGACGTTCGATAAAGGTAAGTAAGTTGAAGATATTTATTCTCACTCGAATCTTTATTTTCAATATTATGTTTATATAAAGAACCAATATGAGAGAAAAAAGAGAATTGACAATAGATAGCAAAGACTAAGGCTTCTTTTTTCAAAATTCTATTTTTTTTCATAGTGTTTTGCAAACTTTTACTCGATTTCTATTGTAGAAGCTTTCTTCTTATTAGAGATTTGGCCTTTCCTTTATATATATATTAGTCTCATAGTAAATTATAATAACTATATTAACTATTTCTACTATAATTACTATATCTATTATTTAAACTATAATTAAAAAAAGACATACTGTATATTTAAGAAAAGAAATAAAATAAATAAAATAACTATAGCCAAAATAACTCATTTGAGAAATTTGTGATTACTGTAACATCAGTTTATGAGATAATACAAATCTTCTTTTATGATAATAATTAATACATAATTTTAGCAATTTTTTTTATAAATAGATATATGAAAAGGTAAATAAATTCTTTTTGAATCAGATCTACAAATTACTTTTTTAATTTTTTCATTTCTATATATAATAGATAGTAATATATGGCAAAATAATAATTCAGATTCTGATATTAACTTAATAGTATGATTTGTTGTTTACTTGAATAACAAATTATTTAACAGTTCAGATAAAAAGATATTCTCAACATTTTTAATTAAGGCTTTAACTTCTGGCAAAATAATAGGTTGTTTCTTAAGCAATTCCTTAGTTATTATACAGATAACAAATAATTTCTCAGATAGTAATACTCTTACAAGTTGTTAGTATATTACAAAAATAAAATAACATTTCAGTAATAATTTAATTAACTCAAGATTAACTTTAATATAGATAATATGTAATTTATAATACAGTAGAATATTATAATAATTTGTCTTTAATCAATTAAAAAATTAATATAATAAAGCAATTATTTTTTTTAGTAATAGGAATATTTTAAAATATGCAATTAAGTTTAATTTTAGAATGTCAATTATATTAACTTTTAGTTTTAAAATTTGAAATATTAAAACTGAATAAAATCAATAGTTCATCCAATAAAACTAATTTTATATAAATTTTATAATATTGTCCTTCATAACTAGTCTAGTACTAATCTGAACTAGAACTCATTATATTAAAAAGGAAAATTTTTATTGTTAACAATATCAAAGGTACTTGTGGTGATTATTATTATAATATTCTCTTTTGTTTATATTTATTTTCTCTTTTCAAACCCTTGTTATCAAATTGTGAATCTTGAATTCTTTAAAATAATTAGATAACAAATAAAATAAGTTTATTAATTATTATTGTATTGGTACAAATAAGATTTCTAACAGTATTATTTCAGTATCAAGTCGATACTGGATTTACTATAAATTTAATATAGTAAGTTACAACCTATATATTAACTTTATTATAAGTTGATATCAAGTCAATATCAAGTTGATACTTGATTTAGAACCCTAAGTACAGACAATTAATTTTATAAAAAATAATATTTTATTAGTTGACTTATATTATCTTTCTATTCTGCATACATGGATATTTATACTATTGTAATATATCTTTTTAATTTATTATTGCATTATATAAAACTAACAAATTTTTACAAACTTTGTATCTAAAAAAGTTTTAATAAATTGTAAGTAATTTCAAAAAGATAGTAAACTTAAATTGTTATTTTAAAATACTAACTGAAGTTAAAACTTTATTAAGATCAAAAAAATATTCTTATAAATATATATATATATATATTAGGAGTTTCCTAATAGATAAACATTATTTCTTTATTTGATATTGTAATAATAAAGTATACTTTATAAAAGAAACAATATCACTTTTATTATTTCAGAAAAGTTAATACCAGCTTGCCTACTTTACAATATCTAACTAATATCATAAAAAAATTCAAAATCAATATTAATATATTAGATAGGACTAAGTAGCAGCTATGTCTACTATTCCAGAAAATTTTGTGAATTTTTTTAATTTTTTTAATGTAAAAAATTAAAAATAAAAATAACGGTAATTATAACTAAAACAAAATTAAGTATACTATAAGATCTATGCATATAATGAAAGAACCTCAGACAAACTTATTATCTCATCTCTCTGATTCTCCTAGTGCTATAAATAATAGAGTATACATGATATTGTTTGTTGTTATAGTTGTTAATAGTGAATTAGTTGTTATTGTTGTTGTAATCATTATTGTAATACAAAACAGGTTTAAGCTTGTTTAGTTTTTGTTTTGATCTTTAAGTAAAATCTAATTGGATAATTGGAGGGCACTAATTATCTAGAAAGAATAAACTAATTTTGGTTTTTTGAATAAAAAATTTTTGAAGGTTGGAGGTGGCACAGCAAATGTTGCCATGAAAATATTGTGTATAAGGGTTGACTTAAAACAAACAGTAAATTCACTAATTTTGTTTGAGTATATGTTTTGGAAAGTATTTGGTTTAGCAAGTATAATAGTAATAATATGAATGGTTTTTATGATAAAATAGGGATACAGGAGAACTAAAAATAAAAAAACTGTCATAAGTCTTTCCTTATGCAATCAAAGAATAAGCAAGACTCCCAAACTTGAGTAGACTTTGACCAGAGGTCCAATTCCACTATATCAGTTGTCTTAAAGATTCTTAAGTTCCCGAACTAGAGCTCACTTGTGATAATGAGAGTAAACCATTTTTTCTTGCTTAAAATTATTATAAAATAAAAATTTTTAACAAAACAGACGTAATCAGAAAAGAGTTTTTTATATTCTTATATATATATTATTTTCATATAATGTAAAAATATATAAACAAATAAATAAGATTTAATGTCTAGAAACATGTTATTTAATTAACATAAAGAAAATATAAAAGAAATAATATAAAAATAATATAAACCAAAAAAAAAACTTATCTACTTATCGCTGATTTTTTGAAAATTTCCTTTTTAGGAAATCTTCTCTCAAGAAGTGTCTTCCTCTCTTTATCTTTTAAAACAAATAAGCTTTAAACTATAAGGACATAAAGATTAAGGAATACTGTTGCATTGGAATGGAATCTCAGATCAAGATTTAAGCAAGTTGGGAGTCTTCATTAGCTCTTGGTTGCATGGGGAAAGGCCCGTGGCAACCTTCCTTCATAATTTTTTTGTCTTTAAGTACCTCCCCTTGTATGACCATGATAACTGCTTTTCCTCTCACCTTTCTCTCTCCATAACACCAATTTAATTCTAACAACACATTCAAACAAAGTTACTGGGTCTAATGTTTGTCTTAACACAATTTTTGAAAATTTATTATCTTTCTTCTCTATCTAAAAACAATATTACATGTCACTTCTTCACTATCCTACAATTTTTTTAAACTTACTCAAAAAAACCATAATTAGTTTCATCTCATCCAAAAATTTATACTCAACAAACAACCAATAAAATATTTTTACTCCTTAACAACAACATCAAACCTGTTCAAACTTGTTTACAACCAGTTCTCCAATGAAATTCCCATACATACACAACAACAACAACAACAATAACAATAACAATAATAACAATAATAACAACAAACAATCAATTGACAACCTACCAGATTGGGAGAGTGCGTGACTTGTGCCCTGCGTGAGTTCCGGTAATCTTTACCTAACACATATCCAAACAATATAACAATTAATTGAAGCTGGGCTCTAGTTACCCAACTCACAATTATTCCAATTACAACACTTCTTTATTAACCATATAATTAACTCATATTATCTCAACAATGGAGTTGCGCCCCATGAGCAGCAATGCTACTGTTAAAGAAAAAAGACAGCTAAAGCCTAACCAATGTAAATAAAAGTAAAGTACTTTTATTGTAAGTAGAAGTGAAATACTAGGGAGTTGTACCTTATAATCTGACAGCTTATACCAGTACTTCTCTACTGCTGCTAGAATTGTGTCCAGCTATTGTAGACATATTTGGTTTGTACCCTGTGGGAGGGATTGTTGATTCAAAGATAATATATCTTCAAACTTTAATACATATCACCTTTATACAACTATCTCATTCAAAACACATCCAACTATATATGGTCTTGGGGAATGATTAACCTTGACTTTAAACTTAACATATATAGTAACTTTATGTCTATACATTCTCTCTTTCAAATTATCACACTGATATATTCTTTTACTCAAAGTAATCTTGCTTCTTTCTTTATATATATTAATATTGTAGATAGTTCATTTCTTACTTTTCCCTGCTCAAGGGTTTTTTATTTAGAAATATATCTACTATAATAAATGGTAGACTAATATGTACATAGTTTACTTTGTCCATATATCTCATATCTTAAAAATTAATTATGTAATAATTATAAATTACAACATTAATAAAGATCATAAGACATGTCTTACTTTAACATTAAAAAAAAATATTA